GTAGCCTGCCATCCCCTGCCCAAGGTCTGCGTCGAGCCCCTGCTTGATGGACACAGGGAAGCTTTGCCCTCCAGGCATCACGGCTGACATCTCCACCCCCACAGTAGAAACACTAAGTGTGCAGGCTTACCTGCATGAATGGTGCCACTGATCAGCTCGGGATGCTGACCCCAGGGCCAGGACCTGCCAGCTGGGCAGCCCCAGGCTGCCACCAGCTTCCTCAGGATCCTCTGGCACGAGTAACTGTAACCAGAGCCAGAAGAGCAGGCAGGGACCCAGCATCTGCAGGCTCGCTCACGGGGCAATCACCCATCCCTGTCCCCAGGGCAGTGGGGCACAAGGCCTCTTCCAGCCACAGCCCAGGCTCTCCCAACCCAGCTCTAACTTCACACACAAACATATACTCCCTTGGCAGGCACCAGAACCACTCAATAATAATTATCCTCTCCCTAGAGGAGAAAACAACATGCCCAGCCCCGGGCCATTGTCGAGCTGAAGAAGAGCACTGCGCAGCGGCGCTGCAAAGCCGTCCCCACGTAGCAGTGCCAGGGTCACTGCTGGTCTGATGTCTCAGCAAGCCCTGTGCTGGCAGCCGCAGGAAGGGCTGTACCTGCAGTGGGTGCTTCTTCAACCTCCCTCACAGCTTTTGTTCTTGAATGCTTCCCTGGCAGGATTGTAGTGTCTTTAGCAAACAACAGAGAAGCTCGGTGATGCTGCCCCCAGGATGAAGCAGCACTTGGCCAGAGTAAAAAATTCTTGATTCTGTCCCATCTCCAGTGAGACCGGGCTTTTAGCTCCTATTTATACTAATAAATCTCAGCTGCTGAAGCACAGCAGGAGAGCTATGATGAAGGGAGATGTGAGCAAGGCTGGACCAGTGTGTATCTGAATCCAAACCAGCTGGAGAGGGGAAGCATTTCCCCCCGCCAGGAACGCCTGTCCAGCCCAAACCCAGACAAGCAGAGCAATGAAGAATCTGCTTGTGTGGCTCCATCTAGCCTGGCACAGGGAGACTGATGAAGTCCTTCCCACCCTGCTACCTCTGTGGCTCCCCTTGCCCACCCCTCCACTGGTTTATGCTAATCCTAAAGCAAGGCCTTGGTGGGAGAGGTTTAACTGAAACCACTTATTTCAGAAATGCATGACTCGGGGAATGACCAGTTCTTGTTTTTCTCAGTAAAAAGCACAAGCTGAATCCAGGCTTGGATTTGCAGAAGGGTTTAGGAGCCCCCAACTGCCCCAGGGGTGGCTGGGATGAGCTGGAGGACAGCTGCTGGAGGCTGTGTCCAAGGCTGTGGACTAGGAAGGGACCAAGTCCTACATCCAAAACCAAATCCCTAAACCCCAAAATGTGCATCTCAATGTGCCTCCTGCACCAGTTGCTGCTAACGAGCGAAGTGGAGGCAGCAGTTAATGGCCAGGAGAGCAGCCGGTGTGTAGCAGCCCAGGTCAAGCAGCGCACATGCCCAGCAGCTGCCTGCAGCCAGGAGGCATCAGGGCTGTGCTGGGAGCTGGGGCCAGAAGCCAGCAGGAGGGACACAGGGGCAGTTAACTGTGCTG